CGGGGGCCGAGCGGGCGGGCTTCTAATTCTCCCGAAAGGGTTATTCTCTCGCTCTGTTCTTATTTTGGGGGGAGCCGGCGAGACAGCGCCTTTTGGGGCGCGCTGGTAAGGTGGGAGGGGGTGGGGGCTGGACGATTTGATTCTTGGGCGAGTGTGTGTGGAAGCGGCCGCCGCCGCCGCCGCGGCGGAGACGACAACAACTTGCTGGTTTTCAGGTTGGGTTAACGGCATGGAGAACAGTCACCCCCACCACCACCACCAGCAGCCCCCGCCGCAGCCCGGCCCTTCGGGCGAGAGGAGGAACCACCATTGGAGAAGTTACAAGTTGATGATTGACCCGGCTCTGAAAAAGGGACACCATAAACTGTACCGCTACGATGGGCAGCATTTCAGCCTGGCGGTGAGTAGCCGGCGCGCCTCCCCGCCGCCCCTGCCCACCCCCGGTCGTGCCCCGGGAGCGGGGTCCGAGCGGTCCGGGGACCCCCCGTCCCGACCACCCGGCCAACTGTCAGCCCGGTCCCCAGCCCTGGAGTTTGACAAGTGCCTGGAGCAGGGGGTCTGCCCCTGACCCTGGGGAGTGGGACCAACCCTCGCACCCCGCCCCCTCCCCCCGTTTCTCCCTATAGATGTCCAGCAACCGCCCGGTGGAAATTGTCGAAGATCCCCGGGTGGTCGGGATCTGGACTAAAAACAAGGAGCTGGAGCTGTCGGTGCCCAAATTCAAGGTAGGACCCCTCCCCCTGCCCCGCGGTCCCTCCTCCCCCTCCCCGAGTTCGAAAATAACGCCAGCCCTGCCGGAGCCCGGCCGCCTTCTGAGTTCCCGCCGTCCCGGACGGGCTAGTTTTGGCGGGGAGGGGGAGGCTGCTGCGAGAGGGGCGTCCCCGCCGAGCTGCTGTAAACAGAGTAACGCTGCGGTGAAACTGTAATCGAGGCGCTGCTACAATGTCCTGCGCGCCCAGCTGGGGGCTGCGGGTCCCCACCTGGCTCCTGCCGGCCCGGGGGCTTGGCCCCAGGACCCGCCCCCCTTCCCAGCCTTGTGGCTTTAGAGGGACAACCTCCTAGCCCAAGGGGTCGCCCCGGACTGGGCAGCTGGGAGAGGAGGCCAGAATGGGGGGCCGAGGAGAGGCGGGAGAGAGAAACTGTTTCTTTTCCCCCTTCCCTTTCGAACCCGGAGGACTTCCACGTTCCAAACGATTTAATCCTCTGCTTCCCGGGCCCGCCCGCGTGCATTTTTTTCCCCCCCAAATTTTTATTTAAAAAAATTTTTTTTTACCCTTCATTGTTTTCAAAGGGCAGGCCCGTGGGGGGAAGGTTGTGTTTCCCCTTCCATTTCAATGCTCTCCAAACTCCCTTCCTCCTCGTCTCCTGCCAGATCGATGAGTTCTACGTGGGCCCGGTGCCTCCGAAGCAGGTGACATTTGCCAAGCTGAACGATAACATTCGCGAGAACTTCCTGAGGGACATGTGCAAGAAGTATGGGGAGGTGGAGGAAGTGGAGATTTTGTACAACCCCAAGACCAAGAAGCACTTGGGCATCGCCAAGGTGGTCTTTGCCACAGTCCGGGGAGCCAAGGAGGCGGTGCAGCACTTGCATAGCACTTCGGTCATGGGCAATATCATCCACGTGGAGCTTGACACCAAAGGTGAGTGGAGGCGGGTTCAGGAGGGCCCCCCTCCTTCCCCAGGAGCTCAAGACCTGTCAGGCCGGCCCCTCCCCCTCCCAGAGCCCCTCCTGCAGAGTGGGGGACCCCTCACTCTTCCTTGAATGCCTCTCTACAATCTTTAAAAAAAAAAAATTTGCCCCCCTCCTGAGGCTAGAGTCACGTGGAGCTAAATGTGTTGTCTGTTGCTAGGAGACCAGCTATAATTTACCAAATGTGCGGGTCCTTGGCCACTGTGCCTCTGGGGACCATCCGGAGGCTTCCCCACTGCTGACACCCATGGGGGCCCCTCTAGAGCCCCGGTGGCCTGGGCTTAGTCAGTCCCCAGTGTTGCCCTCTGTGAGGGGAGGAGTCTGCGTTTGTTTATTTGTGGGGTGGGGGGGGAGGTGAGGGAGAGCGACCAGGATGCCTTTAAATGCATAAGGAGTATGTCCCTCAACTAAAAGTAGAGCCCTCCAAGGATCCAGGGCTCCCCTCCCCGCATGCCACCCCTTCCCCCTGGAAGTGGGAACCAATCTGGGCCCAGAGTGTGGTTTCATTGATAATGTTCCAGATAGTGTGGGGCGGGCTGCTCTGGGTGCTCTAGGGTTGACACGGTGTCGTCCCTCCTCTCTCTTAAAGAGACAGCAGCACCTCCCCTGCACTGTGTTCACTCCCTGCTGGCTGCTGGGAGCGGCCAGCTGGGGAGGCCACACCTCCCACCCTGTGGGTAGGGGAGGCTCCGACTGAATATGGCTGGAGGGGTGAGCACGGATGCCAGTTCCCACCAAGACAGAAGGAGCTGGGATAGGTGCCCGGCGCTCTGAGGACCCGCCGGCCCTGTGACTGAGCAGATACTGTCACTGGGTCCAGAGCCCCTCGAGGCCTCTGGGTGGGCTTAGGTGGGCGGCTTCCAGGGGTGTTTCGAGCTACCAGGGCACACAAAACCCAAGACGGAAAGAGCTAATCCCTTTATTTTTGCTTTTAATGATGAATGCATATTGGCTGAGTCTCTGAGACCCTGCTGGTCCTGGGGGGGCTCGGTTGTCCCCTAAACTCTGCTGAGCTGTACCTCATTCTGAGTCTCCTAGGGACACAAGTCCAGGTTCCTCTCTAAGCCACAGCCCCCCACACCCCCAGGTCTAGTTGCTCAGTCTCTGTGAGGGGAGTACAGACCCTTTCAAATCTACATCCCCTTGGGTGGCTGCCGGCCTGAGAATCGAATGTGGAGCCCCCTCCCCATTCGAAGGAGCAGCCAGCTCTCACCACAATTTCATTTCTGCGAAGAAAAAAAAAAAAAAGGTGGGGACCCTCAGAGCTGCCAGCTAAGTTTGTATTTCAAGAAAGAGACCAGTAAAGTGTAAAGCGAAGCTCAAGGAATGCGTCTCCTTTGCATATGTAAGCAGCTGCCTCACGGGGCTCTATAAATATCAGTGATCTGGGGCCCCTCTGTAGAGGCCTCTCTCTGCTGGGAGGGGTAGAAGGTCACCAGACAGGGCTCAGTGGGACCAGCCCCAAAGCTGGGGCGTCTGTTTGGAGGGAGAGGCAGGTGGCATGCACAGGAACCTGGTATTGTAAACTGCTGGTCACCTGGTCCCCAACAGCTACCAACAAACTGTCCCCTCTCCTCACCACGTGCCTCCAGGCCCTGGCTGTTACGTGGGAAAGGGAGAGGACAGACTGGGAGACCTGACTCTTTTCTCTGGGTGTCCAGGTGGCAGGAAGAGGCTTTGTGTTGGGGGTGGCATTTCTGTATTTGGGGGAATCCCAGCCCCACGAGGCATTAACTTCTGAGTCTCAGGATGAGAAAAATCATACAACTTAGCAGCTTCGTTGAGCAGCTCGGGCTCCCGAGAAGGGTGCAAAGAAGGGTGGGAACTTGGTTATGCTCACACAGCTTCCCCAGGCTTGGGGTCTCAGGCACAGGGACCCACAAAGAAGCCAGCCTGTGGGGGCTGCCCTCTCGGGGAACCTGGCTGAATCCCGCCTCCCTGGTCCTTCCACAGGGGAAACCCGAATGCGGTTTTACGAGCTGTTGGTCACGGGCCGGTACACACCCCAGACCCTGCCGGTGGGTGAGCTGGATGCTGTCTCTCCCATCGTGAATGAGGCCCTGCAGGTGGGTTTAACACATCAGTGCCCCCTCTCCTGTCACCAGCTCCCTCGTGTGGCCCCCGGGGCCTAGGAGGGAACCGAGCCTGGCCACGCACAGGCCGGGGTTCCCACGGCCCCAGAGCCCAACTGGAGCCCGCTCTCCACGTAGATGCTGCCACATGGCTGCATCCTATGTCCTGTGCACCCCTCTCCCCCTGCTCCCCCGAAAGCAGAGTTCAGGTCCCTCTTTCCAAAGCAGCGGTTCTCAACCTGTGGGTCGCGACCCCTCTGGCGGTCGAACAACCCTTTCACAGGGGTCGCCTAAGACCATCCTGCATATCAGATATTTACAATACGACTCATAACAGTAGCAACATGACAGTTATGAAGTAGCAACGAAAATAATTTTATGGTTGGGTCACAACATGAGGAACTGTATTTAAAGGGCCAGAAGGTTGAGAACCACTGTTCCAGAGCAAGACTGACTCCTCCCCCAGTCCCCGCCTCCCAGGATGCTCACCTGGGCCGCCTGCACCTGGGGAGATTCCCATCCCAGCCCTTCCCCAGCGTCTACCCAGCCACCCTCCGGAGTAGCTTTCCCTGAATGAAGAGACCGTTCACTTGCTGGTCAGCTGGGTTCCGTAGGCACGTTTACCATGTCATATTATGTCAATCAAAACTCTGGGAGGCCACCCTCTCACTCCCAAGACCCCTGCCTGGAAGGTCTTTGATTTCTGCCAGCCTGAGACAGGAAGGAGATCCCAATTCTAACCAGGATGTTGGGATCTTCTCTTTTCTCTGCCTCAGAGATTAGGAAAAACCCGCCAGAGCCCATGAGGATAATTGGCTACCCTGAAAGTAGAGAGAAGTTAGGACCACCCAGACACGCCTCTCCAACCACCCACGCCCCTAACTTCTCCATGTTGCAGTTCCAAAGCCACCAGTTTGGCTCTGAACTCCCGGCAGCCAGAGTGAGAAGGGGACAGATCCCCCCAGTGATCTCACACCTCTCTCTCTCTCTCTCTCTCTCTCTCTCTCTCTCTCTCTAGTTGACTGATGCCCTGAAGCGCCTCAAGGATGGTGGCCTCTCTACAGGCTGTGGCTCTGGCTCATCCTCTGTCACCCCAAATAGTGGTGGGACGCCCTTCTCCCAGGACACCGCTTACTCCAGCTGCCGCCTGGACACACCCAACTCCTATGGACAGGGCACCCCGCTCACGCCGCGCCTGGGCACCCCCTTCTCGCAGGATTCCAGCTACTCCAGCCGCCAGCCCACACCCTCTTACCTCTTCAGCCAGGACCCCACGGTGACCTTCAAGGCCCGGCGCCACGAGAGCAAGTTTACGGATGCCTACAACCGCCGCCACGAGCATCATTATGTCCACAACTCTGCTGCGGTCCCTGTGGTGGCCGGGGCCACAGCCACCTTCAGGGGCTCCGTGGACCTCCCATTTGGGGTGGTCGGCAGCAGTGGGGCCGGCGGTGGCCCTCCGTTCAAGGCCCAGCCGCAGGATTCAGCCACGTTCGCCCACACTCCACCACCCGCCCCAGCCACCCCCGCTCCTGGAGTCACATTCAAGTCTGCTTTCTCTCCCTATCAGACTCCTGTGCCCCCTTTCCCCCCACCCCCCGAGGAGCCCCCCGCCGCCACCACCACCTTTGGG